GGGGTCTGGAGTGGCTGGAGGACTTGGCAGGGCAAGCGCCCAACTACAAGGTCGGCCAGTCCCTGCCTCGCCCGGGGGTGCCCTCCGCAGACCCCCGTTGAGAGGGGCGGCCCCGTCTGCTCCGGGCCCTGCCTTCCTCACACGAGGGAGACCTGGGGGTCCCCGGCAGTCGAGTCTCTTCTGGGGCGTGAGGCCCACACTTACTTGAGGAGCAGGACGTGGGCCTGCAGCTTCTTGGCGGAGTGCACGAACAGCTCCCTGCTGATGAAATCCATGCTGTACTCCGGCTGCAGAGACAAGACCACAGTGCATTCTGTCCACAGGGCAGCAGGCCTCTCTCTCGGGACCACCATGGCCATCCACTCCGGGACCAAGTCCAGGACCCAACCACATCACCTCCGCAGAGGCCTCCAACCCCCGCGGGCCAGAGACTTTTTTTTCCCCCTAAATCTGTTCTCCCTCTTTCTGGGCTCATGGCTGCCCAGCCAGAGATTTCCCAGATCCCTTTACATCCTGGTGTGGTTGTGCGGCTAAATGCACGGAAGTGACCTGGGCGGCTTCTGGACCTAGATTCTAGGACTAGGCGTGGCCCCTCGTCCCAAACTCCCTTCCCCCATCCGCAGGGCGCCCTGCAGCGCTGCCCAGCCAGCCTGGGTTCCCGACTCTGCCAAACAGACCATTTCCGTGAGAAAGTAACCTGCTTAAGCCACTGTGCAGAATGAGGACGCCTTGATGTCCCCACAGCCCCACTGGCCTCCATCAGAGCCTGGGCCACCCTGTCTCATGACCCCGTAAGGGGTCCAAGTCTGCGCCATCCCACACGGTAGCCATCAGCCCATGTGGCTACTGAGTGCTTGAAATGGGGCCAGTCCGAGATGCGCTGTAGGCATAAACTGCACAGTGGATTTCAAAGACTTAGTATAAATAATACCAGATACCTCACATTTTTATACTGGTTACATCTTGGATACATTGAGATAAAAATATTAAATGTGATTTCCTCCATTTCTTTTTACTCTCCTAACATGGCTACTACAAGATGTGGAATTGCATGAGGCTCGCTTTCTACCGGACGGTGCTGCTCGAGCCCCAGAACTCCAGGTGTGACAGAGGAGGAGCTCGATAAATGTGTGCAGAGTGGATTAATTCCAACAAAGCTCCCATGAGGACTGTTAAGTCATGCCCAACACTCCTCCACCATTGCGATAAATATACAGTTCTTACGAAAACACGTGTACACACACACACACATACATATACACATTCGGTCACAGGGTCACGGCCACGAGAGCATCTTGCCCTTGGTCTGCCCTGACCTCCTCCGGGCCATCTCCTGCTCCTTGAGCGAAAATGACCTTGGGTGCTTTTCCAGAAACAGACGTTTCCAGATCATCCACAAGGTCCAATGAACGAAGATCTACTGAGGACCCACACAGGCTGCATGTTAGCTCCTGCTGGCAGCGTGCCCGTCTTCAGGAAAAGCAGGGAGGTGGTTCGTGCCCGCGGAGGGGTTCCCCGACCAGTGTTAATCGGCACATTGCAACAGGGCTTTCCTGAGGATCACAGAGGCTCAAATCACACAACGGTGAGCAGGAGATGGCACCAGGACTCGGCTCAGGCGTCTGCCCCCACCCCCCAGCCTGAGCTGCTCGGGCCAGGACTGGGGCTCTCCGGCTTGGGGGCCCGGTCAGGCCCTCACCTCAATTATATGTTGGTCCCCAAGGCAGAGACTGAAGGATGTTACCTCCGCTCATGTCTCTGGATGTGAAAACATAAGTCTGGGGTTTTGCAGCTGTTTCCTCTAAGGCCACACAATTCGAGGACATTTCTCCAAGACCGCCTTTAAGAGCAAAGGCTGCTGGGTGTGTCCTGTCTCTTTCTTCTTCTTCTTCTTCTTTTTTAAGATTTTATTTATTTATTTGTCAGAGAAAGAGACAGAGTGGCAGGCAGAGGGAGAAGCAGCCTCCCCGAGCAGGGAGCCCAATGCAGGACTCCATCCCAGGACCCCGGGCTCATGACCTGAGCTGAAGGCAGACGCTTAACGACTGAGCCACCCAGGTGCCCCTCTTCTTTTTTCTTTGCTTCTGTCCCCCTCTCCTCTAACCTTCTTTCCCTAGTCCACTTTCATTCCCTGATCTTTTGTATTCCAGTGTGACTTACGGCAAAGTCCCCAGATCTATGTGTCAGCTGACAATGGCCTTTCACATATAAATGCTCTGTGCAACCCAGCTCGAAGCCTCGACCACCACCAGCACCTGCAGGCTCCCTCCTGGGGCATTCTCCGAGGACACCACTATTCAGACCGCTAGCCCCGTGGATCAATTTGCCTCTTTTTGAACTTCAGGTAAATGGAATCATATGGAGTGCTCTCTGTTTCTGGTTTCTTTTGGTCTGTAAGTTGTGTTTGTTTTTTCATTCCTGTGTGGTGCTCCAGTGTATGAATATAGAACAATGTGTGCATTCTATTGTTGAAAAACATGTGGGTGAGTTCCAGTTTGGGACTATTATGAACCAAGCTGCTAGGAATGTCCTTGCACACATCTTCTGTGCACATGGCACACATTTTTGCTAGGCATACACCGAGGAGTGGAATTACGGGCTCACAGGATTTGACTATGTTTTGCTTTAGCAGTTCCTGCCAAGCAATTTCCCAAAATGGTTGTATCAATTTATACTTCCTCCTGCAGTGTAGAAGAGTTCTGGTCTTTGTCCCCATTAAGACTTGGTGTTGTCAGGCCTTTCCATTTTGACAGCAATTTCTCCACCTCTGGTGGAGGTGTAGAGGTATATCTCATTGACTGCCCTAATTACTGATGATCATGAGCACCTTTCATGTGTTGATTGGTCACTTGGATAGCCTCTTTCATGAAGGGCCTGTTAAAATCTTTTGCCTGCTTTTAAAAATGAGGTTGTTAGACTTTATCTTATTGATTTGTAGGAGCTCTTTATATATCCTGGATATGAGTCCTTTAGCAGGCCTATGCATTTAAATATGTTCTTTTAGTCGGTGGCTTGACTCTTCACTCTCTTAATTTGTCTTTTGATGAACAGAAATTCTAAATTTTAAATAAAGCCCTATTTATCAACATTTTCATTGATTCACATGTGTGTTCTATTTAAAATATGTTGTCTACTTCAAGGTCATAAAGCCATTTAGAACCTTTCCTGTTTCACCTTTCATATTTTGATCTATGACCCATCTTGAATTAATTTTTGTGTATCGTGTGAGGCAAGGGTCTAGGATCATACTTTTCCATATGGATAACCCATTGCCTGGCACGCCTCTATCAGGTGGTACCCGTTCATAATGTTAACAGTCACTAAATTCCCAAAGTATTCTATAAATTCAATGTCATCTCAATATAATTCTTTTTTTAAGTAAGCTCTATGCCCCATGTGGGGATTGAACTCAACGACCCCAAGATCAGGAGTTCTATTCTCTACCAACTAAGCCAGCCAGGCACCCCATCCCATTGTAATTTTTAACATAAGTTGATCATTCCAAACCTCACTTGGAAGTGAAAATATGCAAGAAACGCCAAGGGACACGTGTAAAAGAAGCACGAGGAGAGAATGCAGATTCTACTAACCATCAGAACTAATCAGAAGGCAGTAGGGATTGAAACAGAGTGGTAGGGCCCAGATGGTGGCAAGATCAGTGCAACAAAAGGAGAGTGCAGAGACAGACCCACTTTAGAATTCGTATCTTTTGTAATTCAGTTTATGTCCCAAACATAAGCTCCAAATCTGGGCAGCCTGCTGCAGAACAGCTGTGTGCTGCACAGAGTATGGACCTCGGAAAGGGAAGGGGTGTTTCCAAATGCCCCCAAAAGTAACCAACCCTACCTGCACTCGGGGGCAGTGGAGGGTTGGGGCCCTGCACTGCTGCCTGGAGGGTGACCTGGCTCAGGCCAGGGGTCCAGCCAGGATCACTCTCTCTGGAGGGAAGCTTTCCAACAAGGGCCTCCACTGGTTGGGATCTGGCTGGTAAGCTACCAGCATGAGGACCAGCACACAGAAGAAAGACCACAGTGAGTGAGCCTTGGTGGTTAGGAGGATCCCCTCCCCACAATAACTGGCAGTGGACCAAACTGGCTATTCATCTGGGAAGAAAGTAAAAACGGATCCCTACCTCACACCGTACTTGAGAACAGATCCCAGCTGGATCAAAATCAAAACTCAAACATTCCCGTCCCTTTGGCTGATGCCCTGGTCCAGGCCTCATGTCCCCACCTGGGGCTGGGCAACAGCTCTCAAGGGTCTCCCTGAGGCCAGAGCTTCCCACCTCTAATGACAGCATCTCACATGTGCAAAGCATTTTACCCTCTTGAACAATCTCATTAAGTGCACCATCTGAGAGCCCCTAATGTGATAGCACTGTGCTAGGGCACATGACAGAGGGACCTTGCTAGTCGTCATGGCAACCCCACAGAGATGGGCATAGGGGCTGGTACCTCCTAGCTGTTCACTAACCGACTCCTCTGACCACACCCACCCCCCCGCCGCCAGCAGGACTTCCCTGCACTCCCACGCAGCACCCCCACGCAGTTAATCCATTAAGTTAAGCATTTGCAGCCATTTCTGTGAAAACCTAAACAAACGACAAAACCCAAGAGCCCTAAAATGAGTCGGTGTCTTCTTACATAGTTGTGAAAACACACAGATGGGGCTGCAAGTCTGCCCTCGACAGTGAGCCCTGGTGTCCCCCTTCTGCTCTGTGGGCACCTGTGTGTCAGTAATGGTTTGTTTTTTCAGTTGTTCATGGGTGGGAAGCCCCCACCGATGGTGCTGCTTGACTGTGGGCAAGTCGTACGGCTGACTTAGTTTCCCTGCCTGTGAAATGTGGGTGACAACAGTTCCCTCCTCCAGGCCTGCAGTGAGGATTACCCACGTGTGCAGTACGTGGAAGAACGAGGGGCAGCCGCTGCGCTGTGAGCACCCCCTGCTGGCGTTCCGCCCCAGGTGCAGGGCAGACCCCAGCGCAGCCCCCACTCCTGCCAGGCCTGCTGGGGAGACATCTGGACCTCAGGAATCTGCACGGCAGGGGGGTCCTCTCTCTTGCCCTCAGCCCTTGCCCTAAGGAGACCCATGATTCAAAAGAGGCTGTACACCACCCCACGCCCACGAGGATGGCTAAAATTTAATAGAAAAGCACAAATGCGGGTGAAGAGGTGCAGAAATGGGAACCCTCGTGCGTTGCTGGGAGTGACGATGCTGCCGCCGTGCCAACAGCCTGGCAGTTTCTCAAAAGGTTCAACACAGGACTGTTGTGCAATCCAGCAATTCTGCTATGTATAATGTACCATAATAACAAAAGAAAAAGAGAGCAACACTCACCAAAGCCAACCTCCGGTCTCTATTCATTATTAGACCTGGAATGGAAGCACAAAGACGGGGCCTCAGTGCTGCCTGTCAGGGTGAGGGACCCCACAGGGCTTCCCTGGGGACCCAGGGCCCTTCCGGCCAGGGTGCCCTTCTTCAGCCTGGACTGGTGTCCTCAGAGCTTGGCCGCTGCCACCCGGCCACGGACCGGCACGGCCCACGCGGACGCCTCTCCTCGGCCACCCCACAGAACAGCGCAGAAGGACAGTGGTGGATGGTTACCCTATCTGGCACAGTGGCCGTCATCTCTGAGAACCTTAGGATGGTCATGTGATCTCAGACCCCAGGAAGCACCCAACAGCTAAGAAGAATCCATGCCATCATGTGTCGAAGAGAGAAGGCGGCTGGTGGGGCCGGGAGGCCCGTGGTCCCACCCGTGGGCTGAACCATGGTTCTCTGCCACAGTCCTGATGGTGGACAAGCTGGACTTCACCTGGCGAGGACAGATTCCCAGCAATTCCATGCTTGGGCAATGTCCCCTTTAGAAACAGAAACACAGATCCGGGAGGCCACCTGAGAAGTGAGCTGCTGGGGTGGGGGGGTTGTTAGGGGACCCTCTCTACTTAGGAAACCGTGGATTGAAGCCACTGGGTAAATCCCACAAATGTGACACCAAAGAGAAGCAGGGCAGCCTCCTCCTTCCCACAAGTCTCTGCTCCACATGGCCTTACTGGCCAGGCTCTCAGGCCTCCCATTTCAAGTCACAACCAAATAAATAAGTAAGTAGAGTCACAGCCATCTCACGGGGACCTCTCCCACCCCACCCCTCCTGGAGGGCTCTCCTTATCACTCAGCACTTCCTAAAAGCATTCCACCCGCATGCACCTCTCCTCCACTAGAATGCAGTTTCCCGGAGGACAACAGCTTGGTGTCTCAACCCTACCTGGGCTCCCCAGGACTGAAAATGGGGCTGCCGCACAGTAGTTGCTCAAAAAATTGCTTGAATGGATAAGTAGATGTTTGCCTCCGGGTGGCAGAAAGGGGGACACACAGGGTTCAAAGGAATGGGTGCTGTTCTAGTGTCCTAGCTGGTGTGGGGAGGGGTACAGGAGTAGGTCTGGTATCACTAGTATTACTAGTACTAGTTAAATGTACATATGTGATATGCCAACAAAATTTTGAGCAAGAATAGCAGGAAAGCTCTGAAAAAGGGCCATAAAAGGAGACTGTCCTACAGATATGAAAACACAGTAAGCCGAGCCGTGTCGTGCTGGTCAGGGACAGACGGCCAGACCCACGGAAAGATCGAAGGTCCAAAGACAGACCCCGATGCTGACGGGCAGTCAGGGCATGGTGTGGCCGCCTTTTAGGTCACTGAGGGCAAAGACGCTTTTACAAAATGGTGTCAAGCAATGGAGGAGCCGTCTGGAAAAAGATCAAATCAGATCCAAACCTCCACCTGCACACAAGCTAAATATCCGAAGTAGCAAATACTTAAATGAAAATTCTCAACCCCAAACAGTTTTCGAATCAAACGTAAGCTTTTAGCTACGACTCAAAACGCAGAGGCTGGAAAAGAGAGCTCTATTAATTACATGAAGAAAAGTCTGCATTGCAAGAAAAAAAACCGTCTAAGCAAAGTAAAAAAAGGCAATCTGGGAAGACGTCTTTGCAACTCAATCTCCCCAACATATGAAGAGCTCGAGAAATTGACGAAAGACCACCAGAACGATGCACCGGAGGGTAAGCAGAGGTACAGTTTCCAGAAGACTAAATATGAGAGATATTCATCATTACCATAAAAAGAAAATGCAAATGAAAACCACACTGAGGGGCGCCTGGGTGGCTCAGTCGGTTAAGCGGCTGCCTTCAGCTCAGGTCATGATCCCAGGGTCCTGGGATCGAGCCCCACATCGGGCTCCCTGCCCCTCGGGATGCACGGCTGTGGGTGTAGCCTCGCATGTAACAGCAGAGACTGGAAACACCCAGTGTCTCCCTGTAGGGAACAGGTTAGATTAGCTTCCGCGGTTACGCAGGGAACATTCTGCATCTGTACAAAAGATGCCGCGCAATTTTCCAGGACCTACGGTAAATGGGAACAGCGGGGAGCCGGGAGGCTGCGGAAGGGACGCTCCAGGGTTTGTAGGACAGGGAAAGAAGAGCATACATTCCATGCGTTCATATTCACCTAAGAAAACACTGGAAGGATGTGAACCCATGCTTTAGAAGGGGGTTACCCTGGGCATGAGCTGAGCGACAGGATGGCAAAGAGGTAAGACCCAGTGAACTCACACAGCTTTTTACAGGATTGTGGGTCTTAAACCACGTCAGGTGGCACCTGTTAAGAAAAGTAGTATTAAGGGATGCCTGGGTGGCTCAGTCGTTAGGCGTCTGCCTTCGGCTCAGGTCATGGTCCCAGGGTCCTGGGATGGAGCCCCGCATCGGGCTCCCCGCTCGGCGGGGAGCCTGCTTCTCCCTCTGACCCTCCCCCTGCTTGTGCTCCCTCATTGTCTCTTTCTGTCAAATAAATAAATAAAATCTTTAAAAAAAAAAAAAAGTTGTTTGCCAGAATTATTGTTTTCCCTTCTAATTAGAGATTATGGAACTTTTAGATGATAAATATAGATGATTAATTGTTGATAGAGGTTCTCAGTCAGGCATTTGTGATTCTAAATTCTTAGGAATTTAATAGGAATGTAATAGGAAGATTTTCTGGTCGCTGCACTAGTAGATCATCTCGGCCTAAGGAAACTACGGTTGAGGCCTCTGGGTCACCTTCGCTCTGGCCATGACCTCCCTGCACAGGCCCCCACCCTGGGTTCTCTGCCCTCCTCCTTCCTCCAGCCCTGGGCTCCAGCTACTCAGATGATGTGAAAAAACTTTAAAAGGGGGTTATCGTAGGGGTAGGGTGACCCCCAGGTACCTGGGGATCCCTATTGAGCTATTCTCTCCGCCCTGGGCTCTGGCTTCTCTCCCCTTTGGCCACATCCTCCTCTCTTCCAAGGCTCGCTTCCACCGTTCACATCCTGGCCGGCCCGGCAGGCCCACAGCCTGGCTGCTTTCCTGCCAGCCTCCCCGTGACAGTGAGCTTTGTGAGGGCCGGAAATGTGCTTCTCAGACCAGCAGGCCAGCACAGATATCCCGTCGAGGAGTCCCGTGATCAGATTCCAAGAGCAAGTGGCCTTCGCATTTCTGGAAGGGGTTTAGATGCAGATCCCACACCAAGGGCCAGTAGTTTCTCCAAGGGGCTGTGCACTGACTTCTCTCAATTCCGTCAACAACCTGTTTCACCCGGAAGGAATTGAGAGGGATGAGGCCAGGGTCAGCCCTGGAAGGAGGAGAGACTGGGCTCGGCTTGCCAGGAGTGGCATCTGCACCAGCTCGGCTGGGGCCCCTCGGGCTGGCCTGGCCTGCAACTTGTGAGCGCCACCTTCTCCAAGACTTTCAGAATCCCTGAAAAGTTGCATGAAACTTATGATTCTTAAGAAAATACCTTTGAATGCAGGAGATGGTATCAGAATCCTAGACACCCCCCATCTCCTGCCACAGCTGACAATTAGAGACTGATATTGTGATGTAAGAAATACGTATTTTATTTCAGACTGGCCAGAGCTCCTAAAGCCTGTGTAATCTCCTAAGTAATAAAGGTGCTAGGAGCATCTTTTGTTCCAATAGTTGGTCTTTGAGCCCAGGTGCTGACACAGAGCTCCTCAATCCCTTGGAATTTCCTAGGTGATAGGAGCATCTTTTGTCCCAATGAGGTGACTCTTGGTGGGCCACCAGACAACTGCAGGATGGGGGGTCCCCAAAAAAACCGAGCTGTGGCTAGAAGCCTGGAACTTTCAGCTTTATCTCCTCATCCTCTGGGAAGGGGAGAGGGACTGGAGATTGAGTTATGATCGATCGTGTCCACATGGTGAAGCCACCCTGAAAAATCCCTGAACTAGGTTTGGGGAGCTCCCCCACTGATGAACAGAGCGGTGCTGGGAGGGTGGGGCACCCAGGGAGGGCACGGGAGCTCCGCACCCCTCCCTCCCATACGTTGCCTTATGCATCTCTTCCATCTGGCTGTCCCTCAGTTGTATCCTTTCTAACAAACTGGTGACCTAGGAAGGAAACTCTTTTCCTGAGTTCTAGAAGGCATTCTAGCAAGTTATTGAGCCTGAGGAGTGGTCTGAAGGAACCCCGGATTTATAGCCACTGGGTTGAAAACACAGGTGACAATTTCATCTTCGGTGGGGCATCTGAAGTGGGGACAGCTTTGTGGGACTGGGCCCTAAGCCTGTGGGTAGATGGTGTCAGAACAGAGTCAGGCGAACCGCGGGGGATGCCCAGCTGCTGGGGGAGGACCGGCCACTGTGGGAAACGGCCGCCACTCAGTGTACGCTCGGCCGGAGAGCAGAGCAACACCTTCCCCCTTATAGACACCAAGGCGTTTTCCATGCCCAGGGGCCCTGCTTTCGTTCCCATCTCACCTCCAAACCCAACTCCTGACTCCAGCCCGTCCCCCTTCCAGATGGTTCCAGGACTGCACTCTGCCAGGCCTCACTCGGGGGCCAGCCACCTTCACGACCTTCGCCTTCACCACCTGTTGCACACTCGATGTCTGAGTGAGTGGTTCTGCTGTGCGTCGGGCAGATGACCTTGGGTTCGGTTATAGGATCGGGTTGGCCTGATGGCGCCGTCCCTGCTCTCTGCTGCTCCAGAGTGGAATGGGGACTGTCAGGGGCTCTGGGGCCTGGGGACAAGCACCCACGAGCAGCCTGGAACACCGACTCTCCCAGTGTCACACCACCCGGTGGGGGCTGGGAACCTGCTTGGCCTTGTTCTAGGTTAAGCTCCAGCCCCAAAGGGCCACGACTGCTGCACGGGGGCAGGGCCTGACATAGTGACCCAGCTGCCTGTCCACTCCCCTCCCTTCTCTCCTCACCCCTCCCTGACAACTGGTTCAGTGTCTATGCTCACCCCTTCATGTGACCCAGGCCTGGCCTAATCGGCTTCCCCCGCCTGGCTGGGAACATGTCTTATTCCAGATTAGCCTACTTCTGCGCCGGGACCCCTCTGGGCGGGCCATCTGTGTGGGCACATTGGGAAGCCCAGGCCCATGGCCCTCTGCCTCGACCTCCCCTCTCCGTGGTGGATTTGCCAAGGTTCAGAGATGATAAGAGACAGTCCCTCACAACAAGTCACAGACTGACTTGAGGCCTGAGGCCAAAACGTCCCTTAAGCATATTTCCATCTGACCTCGTGGTGTGTTGGCAACTTCTGGAAAAAACAATACCACACAGTAGATCTTTGGCTTCTTGGGAGCAATTGGAAATTCGGGCCATACGAGGCCCAGAGTTCCCAGCGAGAACCACCGGCTGGGCTGTCCTATCCCCGGTACCGCAGGCCCCACGGCTCCCTGCTGCCTGACTCCCAGCAGCCCAATTAATTCCACCACTTGCTCAAATCTGGCAAGCCCGTGGGGTTCTGACCCCTGCCTCCTCTGGTACTTCATAAACTGAAGTCGTATTCACCTCCTTGCTTGATCCTCTCAGACCGTGGGCACAGAGATCCTAAGATGTTATTTATGACCTGAGAGAAATAGGGGGGAGGAGGGACTTAAGATCTCTGAGCTAGCACGGTCAGGAATGAGCCCAGGGCTTTGGGCCCAATGTAGTGCCTGGTCCATCTTACCACGCTTGTCTCCCTTGGGCTTCTACTCCTGGGAGCCGCCTCCAGGAGCCCCTCTCTGGGGTTTCTTCCAGAATACCCTGTACATTTCTTTTATTGCACTTAGAATAACATGTCTCTTGTTTGTCTGGTCACAGGTCTATCATTTGTTGCTCCTCCTAGAATGGACATGCCTGAACTGGGGGGCAGTCAGTTCCAGGGAGGGCACTTGTGGAGGGCGCCGTCTGGAGCGGTGCCAGCCCGAGGTACGGGCCCGCCAGGAGAGGGGCTGGCACTGAGCGGGACCTTGGTAAAGTTTCCCTGAATGGGTATATCGGGAAACAAAGTGCAGAAAACACAGGCCCGAGGCTGCCCTGAAACCAAGGGGCCACCTACTCTACTTCTCCATTTTGGTTTTTTTTTTTTTTTTTTAAGATTTTATTTATTTGACAGAGAGAGAGAGCAGAAGGAGGGGGAGCAGCAGAGGGAGAGGGAGGAGCAGACTCCCTGCTGCGTGGGCGAAGCCCGATGCGGGGCTCGATCCCAGGACCCCGGGATCATGACCTGAGCCGAAGGCAGCCGCCCAACCGACTGAGCCACTGGGGTGCCCCTCTACTTCTCCATTTTGAAAAACCCCTTTCAAATCACCCTGCCCTGCAGCACGTCCTCAAACCCTAGCTGGGGACACCAGTGCCCACCACACAGGGTCAGCAGAGCACGGCTGTGACCTTCCCCAACATTCAGCCCCAAGACACCTGACGGCTCCCCACAGGCCTGTCTGGGACGCGCAGCAGCGGTCTGACCTGGCACGCGTCACTTGGCCTCTTGGAGCCTCAGTTTCTCCTGCTCTGCACGGGGTGAGTATAGGGCAGCCGGGGGCGGGATGACACGAGACACTGTTTGCTGAGCACTCGGTGCCCTGCCTGGTCCAGAGCAAGCAGCTGTGAGACTTAGCGGTTACCAGTCCTCAACAAGAACAGCGCCGATCAGCAACAGCCTGAGACGGCGAGTCCCTACCTGAGGCCACCTGGGTGGTTCCCCGCTGGAGGAGGAGCCGTGCGCACTCCCCACTCACATGGCTGTTGTTCTTCAGGAACCTGGGTAGGACAGAGGGACGCTGGATGTCTTGGGGCAGGGGAGGCCACATGGAAAGAAATGGAGGGCCCCCCCCACAAAGGACACAAGCACGTGTTAATGGGATGGTCCCATCAGCGTGCGTGTGTGCGCGCGTGTGTGTGTGTGTGCGTATTTTCACTCCCTTAGATAACAAATACATCTAGGTCCCTGACCACCAGGGGCACTTCCAGGTGCTGGAGATTCAAAGGCAACCAGCCTACGGTCACCACCCACAGACCTTCGATTTCCTGTAGGGCTAGGAGGAACTGCTCACAGAGGGGAGGCAGGGCAGGCTCCCAGGGGGAGTGGGCAAGTTAGCAAGGTGCCTGCAGAGAGGTCTAGGTGGAAGGAGCCACAGAGAGGTGTGGAAGGAAAGACTGTGTGTGTGTGCGCACGCATGTGCGTGTGTGCACAATTATAGGGAGGGGTAGAGAGCCGGTGGAAAGCGCTCTTGGGAAATGAAGGGCATGGCTATAGAGCAGGGAGGACCCGAGGCAGGTAAGTCCCAGCTGGGGTGCCTGGAGAGCCAGGAAGCCTGATACCTAGGGTGAGCACAGAGAGAAACAGGCTCCGTGTGACTTGTGCATAGGAGACCGACGCTTCCTCTGCGCCCGGAGATGTCCCATCCCTCCCTCCGGGCCTCCCCACCAGCCCCATCTCACCCGACTGCACTCACCTCTGCAGCATCTCCTCTGGGCTGACCACCTGCCGGGGTTTCTGGGAGGCCTCTGTCTGCAGCATGTGCTCTATGGCTCCCCGCTTGTAGGTCAGCACTTCCTCTACTCCCTGGGGATGTGTGGGTTCTGCTGGGTGGGCGGGACTCCGGGCTGCAGACAGAGGGGCTCAGCTCCCCCCCCCCCCGGGCCTCAGCAGCCCCTCAGCTGGGATTCACTCTGACCCAGTGAAGGGTGGCACAGGATCAGCCCCTGCTGGTTAGCTCTGTGATCAGAGCACACGTTGTTTGCCTCAGTGAGAGCCCAGCCCGCCCCGCCTGCGGTCTGGCCGGCTGGAGGGGTCAGGATGGATGATGGGAGGGGAAAGGAAATCTGCCAACGGCCAGTGTGCTGCAAAGGTTCAATATTAGGTCCGTAAATCATGGACCATCCAGGGTTGGCAATTTCAGCTGATGTATTGAATGCTATCTCTCCAGATGGTGGAGAGGAGACTGCAGAGGGGGTGCAGCTCAGGGGCTTCTGGCCCCGCTTCGAGTGCACCTATTTCTGGCCCAGCTCACTCTGACAACAGCCCAGCCCTGTCCGCAGGCCCCCACCTGGAAAGGGACACTCCCATCCCACAACGGGGGACAGGGAGGACCAGATACTCAGCTGCTCTGGAGGGAGATCCTGGGGCACCGCGTCAGGTAACTCAGTGGGTGAAACAGATAAAGAAGGGAGAGAAGCCCAGAGTCTCACCGGATCCTCACATCCACCCATGAGCTCTCCATTTATGAAGCCAACACTTACTGAGCACTTACTATGTGCTAGGATTGGGCATGTGGTGAGAAAAGGACAGCATCGTTCGTGCCCTTTTGGCATTTGTGGCCATTTCACAGATAAGAAACTCAGCTGTGTCACAACTGAGAGGCTGAGCTCCTGGGGACAGAGTGACAGAATGTGACAGCGGGCAGGCAACTCCAAGGTCACCCAGGCCAACCTCCTCATTTTACAGGTGAGGCCCAGATAGGCCAAGTGTCTTGCCCAGGGTCACCCCGCAGATCCGTGGCAGAAGCCAGGACTCAGAGGCAGGGATAGCACTGTTTGTCGTCACCAGTGGTGGTGGCGGAAGGGATCGGCATGTCCCCATTGGTCCGCACTCAGAGCTGCTGTGCGCTGTTGTGCAACGTGTGCAAAAACTGAACATGACTGTGGGGGGGGGGGGCTCATCACACTGTGTGCCCCCAGAGCTTCCTCAATCCACTGTTCCTACCCTCTCCCACCCCCTACCGCTTCGCAAAAGACTTGGCATTCTGTAGATCCCAGACCACATACAGGGTTTCCAAGGATGACAAAGGCTTCTGCACCTGTTTTCTCTGCCCACTCCTAGGGGTACAGGTTGCATAACCCTGTCCTCTCTGGGGGTCCCCTGATCCCCCCTTGTCTACCCTCTGCCACCTCCTCCCACCTCCCTGCCAAAAGAGGCAGGGCTCAGGACACTACCCAGGGCCTGGGTCTCCCCCATGATAGCATGCATGAAAGCCCTCATTCTTACTTTAGCATCCAGGGCAAATGGCAATGTGTCCAGCAAGATAAGTTTATCCACCATCTCGGGGTAGATACTGGAAAACTACGATGTGACCCAAAAAGGGAAGCATGAGTAGGAGAGGAAGAAGAAAAAGGGACTCAAGCTTTTCCCTGGGGACACTGGTGTTTCCAAGGGGCCAGAACAAGGCTCTTCGTTCCCTCCAGGGCAGCCTCCTCTCCCCCGCCACAGCCCCTGGAGGTCCACACCCAGACTAAGGTTTACACCCTGGTGGCTGGCTGGATTCCAGGGTTCTCTGGGGATGGGGAATGTGGAACTCTGAACTCCATCAGGAATCTCCAGTTTCACCAACCTCCCCGCAGTAATGATTATTACTGCCATCTATAAAGCAGACTGAAACTAGGCCATTAAATACTGGGTTCAAATTTGTGATATGAGGAGGCACTCCCTTTTCTGGAAACTTCTTCTCCCCCTGCCCCCTCACCACTTCCTGCCCCACCTACAGGAACGCCCAACACGGCCAGAGGTGATCAGTGCAAAGCATCCACTCACCATTCCGCCCACCATACCACCTGCAGGATGGAAAGAGTCGTGGGCTGGTATTCCCCAGCTCTCAAAATCCTACTACATCTTCCTCCCAGGGGCTGCCCCACCCCAGGCTAAGGGGCCTGGCTCTCTCCCACCAGGAGGCAGGGCTCTTTATGCCCTGTCAAACTTGGGGTTCCCTCCCTGGGGGCCATATGACCACTTCATCAGACCTAGCCACTCGAAAGGTCACATTTCTCTTGTCAGATTGGAAGACAGCCACTTCTGGGGCCCCATGTCCCTTGGGGGAGGTGCCTCAAGCCAAAGGGCCCAGTGCCCACAGACCCCCTCATCTCTCTTTGCATTGCCCAGAAGTGCAGGGTACCTGGGTACCACTTCCTCTCCCTCCCTCACAGCCCCTCAGCCCAGTCAGTCCCCTGCCTGCCAGAGTGTAAACTGTACTCACCGAAACTATGGCCCATGATGGAGAAACGCTTCCACTTCAAGGCTGAAAACACACGGAGCCAGGTCTGGATGGGCCCAGGCCCCCCTCACCCTCTGTCCTGCAGTCCCTGTGCTCAGGACATCCTTCCCCAGCCTCTGGGGTGCCCCCACTCAGGAGACTAGCTTAGAGGGGTTCCAGCTTCCTTACAAGGGGTGGAACCCCCAGAAGGATGAGCTCTTCTTACCACCTTTCCCAAAGTCGCCCATGAATTCCTGGGTGACCCAGGTCATTCCTAGGCCAGTATTGTTTCCTGGCTACCACACCCCACTCCAATGATGAGAGGGGATGTCCCACTGCACCCCTCCAACACACACACACACGCTGCCTCTTACCTGCTACAACTCTCCGGATGTCACTCACAAAGTTTTCCTGGTAATACGGGACACCGGGGCTGTAATGGGACGAGAGCCCATGTCCCCCGAAATCCACGGCAACATAATGAAAGTCTGAGACAAGAGACAGGGGGAGAAGGCGTCTAGGACAGCTGTCTCCCCCGCCCCTCATTCTCCTGCAGTCTATGTCACGTTGCCCCTTGGCTTCCCTTCAGCCCCACCTTTCGGAAGAAGAGGGATGAGTCTGTCAAAGGAGTTGGCATTGTCCAGCCAGCCATGCAGGCAAAGAACCGGGCGGGCCTGCTGGGAGCCCCAGGCTTTGGCAGCGATGTGGCCCCAGGGCACAGCCAGCTTCAGCTCTGAGAGCAGACCTGGAAGACAGCCACCCATTCAATCATGAAGCAGGCACTTTCTGAGCCCCTCATCTGTGCCCCAATGTGTTCAGGGCAATAGCGAAGCCCAGGGGGCTCCGATTCCCGCACTGCCCCCAGGTGATTACAGGGAGAGAGCCTGAGGTGGGTTTGGGGTTACCCAGAGGAAGGAAAGATAGACTGGGTCCGCTGAGTGAAGAAAACCTGGGAGGGTTTCATGGCAGAACTTTGTGGAACTGGCTAGACCGCCACATGCCAACTGTGTGACCTTGGAACACTTACTGAAACCTCCTGAGCCCCAGTTTCCTTTTCTGTAAAACGGGGAGAAAACAGTAATAGCAATAACCAACATATTCTAAACTCCCCGAGGGGCAGAAGGGGTGGTCCCTCTCTGGGGCCTGGCTCTCTCTCATTATCACTCTCCCTTCGCAGACCAGTAAACCGAGGCATGGGGAGGCGCAGTCTGTGCCCAAAGGTCCCCAGGGAGAATGAAGTGGGGCGAGGATTTGACGCAGGCGGCACAACCCCAGGACCCCGGTCCTGACCGCCCCGCACCACGCTGTCTGCCTCTGGCCTAGTCTGGCCAGTGCTGCCTGCTCCCTGGTTCAGCACTACCTGTTCGCCCTTCTGGCCCACCCGGCCCGGCTGGAGACCTGTGCGCCCCCAGACCCCCGCGCCTGCTCCTCTAACTCGGAACTCCCGGAACCCTGAGAAGCCACGTGCTGCCCTCTCCTGGGGCCCCCACCCTTCCGCGGGTCGCCGTGACCCGCCCCCACTTCCGCCCCGGGTCTGGGGCAAGGAGGGGGGTGGGCAGCCGGAAGGGCGCGCGTGGCGTCCCCCATCCCACTGCGGTCTAAGGGTCCTGCGGCGCAGCGTCTTCACCCATTGCAGCCGTCCTGCTGTCGCCCGGCGGTCATCACCGCCGTAAGGTCGCGGCCGTAAAATAAACGCCGGAGCCTCAGGTCCCGCCCCCGCCGGCCGGCCACTCCGGCCCGGCCCCGCCCCTCTGCCCAGGCCCCGGCCCGGCCCGGCCCCGCCCCTCTGCCCAGGCCCCGCCCCGCCCGTCCGCCTGTCCCCACTCCGGCCCGCCTGAGGCTTCTTGACTGACCAAGGGCGTGTGGCCTGGCTCTCAGCTCTGTCCGGGAGGGGCCCTGAGCTCCCAGAGACACCCACCCGGCGGCTGGGGCGCACTGGGCCGTGGCCAAACCACCTCCAAAATTTTGGACCGCACCTGGGATGGTATCCAGGGGAGTGAAGTCTCTGCTTGACACGTGGGGGACGGGGCCCAGGCCCCGTTCCCATGTTGGACCAGGAGCTGGCCAAGGCCCAGGGAGCCCCCACAGCCAGCGCGCCACCACTTGGGTCCTCCCTGGCTCGCACCATTGGACTAAAGGTGGGGTGACTCTTTAGTGGTTAAATGTTTGCCTGGAAGGCCTGGCTGTGTCCCCCATGTTCTGGCTGTGTCCTGGATCATCAGTAGTGCCTGCCACGAACCAGCCTTAATACTTGTTGCACAAGTGAATGAATGTGTAAATTGGGGACATGGGGAACCCCCAGGTGAGGAAGGATTATGGACAATAACATTGAGCCTGGAAAGGATCAAGAACCCCGAGGCACAAAGGGAATGTTTGGGGTACTAAATCCTATAATAAAGGCACTAAACTGCATCCTCCGAGTAAGTGGCAAGTCTAGGACAAATAAGGCAAAGTGCTTCCTGTTTATTCACCACCATTTGCTAATTAGAAGGCCTAGGAGTGACCCCTCAGAGGTCACAGTCCAGCAAAGCCCCTAAATGGTGAAGCAGAATCCAGCAGGTGGGGGGCTGGAGAGAGAGATGCCCCGTGAATTCTCCCTCGGGGGTGAGAGGAGACCCAGGCCCTGAAGCGGGGGCAGGCAGGGGTGTGCCACAACGCAGGGAACATTGTTGGTGGCTGGAAACTGTGGGGAAGGGGGAGCAGGGGGGCTGAGTGTGGGAATAAGGAATGGGGGCCTTATCTGAGTTGTGGGGGTCTGGGGGGGGCTTTGAGCTAGGGGTGAGGAGACCATTTCTATGATCGTACATGCACAGTGGTGTCCTTTAGTTCCAGAAATGCTTTGGCTTCCTTGACAAGTTAGACAGGGGGTGACAGATTGTGGGGTGACAGAAGCAATGGGACATGACCCCTTCCAAGGAGCTCTTTCCTCCTCTGCTTTGGGGACCCACTTCCACCTCTTCTTCATGGACGATGCAGCATTTAGACCTGGCACCAAGCTCCAGTCAGACCTCTAGGTGGGGGCCTCTAGCGCATCAGACCTCAGCTTCCCTCAGCCCAGTCGGCCGGGGTCTACACCCTCCTCCCCGTCCCTCAGGCTCACCTAGGTCACCCCCACCTCCTTTCTCATTCCACTGAGGCCTTTCCCTGCCGTTCCAGGGACTTCCGTTCCATTCCATTGACCCCCTGGGCTGGACATTCCTCATCCCGGGAAGACAAGAGAAATCCCTTGCCCTGCCCCACCTCCCCGCCTACTGCCACCCACTCCCCCTACAGCCCCGTTGCAGCTCTGATCTTCCCCGCGGCAATCACGCAGAGAGGTCACTACTCCACACACAGGCACACCTGGTCACAGAGGCCCTGACAAAGTGTGACCTGCATTGGCCCCGCCACAGGACAGTCCCCCTCGCACCCCCAGACTGGACTGGGCTCTGAGCAAACACCCTGCACAGTGGGCAAGTGAGCGGGAGTGCACTCCTGAGACTTCAAGACTGAGCAGACCGTCTTTTGGTTTGGGCACAGATCTGGGGAATGCTGCGGGTGAGTTAGGGGACAGGGTGCAGCCAGAGCTAACTGAAGCAGTGACCAGGGATGGCCCAGCCTGCGATGACGGAGGGGCTGGTGAGCTGGGCCACGGCGGCCTAACTACTCTTTGCCAGGTCACGGTGTTCCCTCCTCCCCTCTCCTTCGTGCCCCCAGGACAGGGCCTGATCTGTTCCCTTAGAGCCTGAAGGTGACTGATAACGGAGAGGGAGATGACTATTTCTTTTAAACAAACGAAAGTCAAACCACCACCAACAAAAAGCAAATAGCCAAGCCCTTCCTGCGAATATCCACAGCTTCTCCTTTCAGTGGGTTTTCATTTAATTTCACTTAGACCTTAAAAGTCACAAAATAGAGTTCACCCCAACCAACAGATCTTGACCCAGTGGAGCCAACTCTTCTCCTAAGCGCACCCTTCTGGAGTGATATTCAAAGTGGTGCAACCACCGGGGCCCCTGGGTGACTCCGTCAGTCAAGTGTCTGCCTTTGGATCAGGTCATGATCCCAGGGTCCTGGGATGGAGTCCCGCTTCACGCTCTCTGCTCAGCAGGAGTCTGCTTCTCCTTCTCTCTCCCTCTCGCTTCTCTCTCTCTCTCTCTCAAATAAATAAATAAAATCTTAAAAAAAAAAATCCAAAAACAAAAAAACAGAATGTGCAACCACCTGCCGGGCTTGGATGCGTCATAGCCCCTGGTTGCCAGGAAGGTCCGCAGGGAGTCTGGGGGAGGAGCAAATGCAGAGTGCCTGCCGGTTCTCCAGCAAGAAGCACACCTCCTCCTGCTCCCCCCCGGGGGTGACGGCCAGAGGTGCCCTGGGCTGCATCTCTTGGCCTTTGCAGGAGCTGGTGCAGATGCAAGAGCCACGGGTTGGAACACGAGCAGTTGGGGTCCGTTTTGAGCCGAGATGGGGACGGAGGTCCAAAACGGGCGACACGGGGAGACCTTGGAGCTGCTGGAGGTGTGGTCACTAAAGCTACTTTAGATATCTTCACTCATTACAACATTTGGGTTCTTTGGGGGGGTCCGTTTCCATTGATTTTTTTTCCCCTCTCAGTCCTATTTTCTTGTTTCCTTTGTATGCGGAGTAATTTGGATTGTGTTCTGGTTATTGTAAATGATCCATTATATGGAGTTTGGATTCTGTTTATGTTCCAGAGAGTATTGATTTGTCTGTTTTGGCAGACAGTTAACTTGGCTGAACTCTTGCAAAGTTTGTCTTCTTTGCAGTGAAAAGCAGCTCAAATTTCATTTCGGCTTCTTTGAGCCTTCGCTGGGCTGCTTGGCATCTGCCCCATGCCTGTGTAGTTCAGTGGTCAGAGATTTGGACAAAATATTTACACAGATTTGGGGGCTCCTCCTGTCTGGATCTCTCTTTTGGAATTCTCCTTGATTCCCAGCTGCTATAGTTGCCACAATCTCTTTTTCTTTTTCTTTTCTTTTTTTTAGAGAGAGCACACGATGTGTGTGTGTTGGGGGGTGAGGGGCAGAGGGAGAGGAAGAGAGAATCTTTTTTTTTTTTAAAGATTTTATTTATTTAGGGGCGCCTGGGTGGCTTAGGGTCAGTTAAGCGTCTGCCTTCGGCTCAGGTCATGATCCCGGGGTCCTGGGATGGAGCCCCGCATCGGGCTCCCTGCTCGCGGGGAGTCTGCTTCTCCCTGTGCCACTCACCCTGCTCTCGTGCTCTCTCTCAAATAAATAAATAAAAAAATCTTTAAAAAAATAAAATAAAACATCTTGGATATTGTCTATACTCTTCTGTATATGACATAGAATAAAAAGACAATGTTTGGTGCTCTTAGGCTCAGTGGGGAGCCTGTTTTTCTCTCTCCCTCTGCCGCTCGCCCTGCTTGTGCTCTCTCGCGAGCTCACTCTGAGTCAAATAAATAAATAATATTTTTTAAAAAGTAGGAGAGGAAAGATAAGGGTCAGGAGAAAATTGAAGTGAGCCCACATCCCTCTCAAACTCAAACTCTGTTGATTTGATCCCAATTTAAACTGATTAGGGCGCATTTCAAGATTGGAACGGAGGAGTAAGAGGGAAGCACCTTTGTTTAATTTGTGTGCTCCTGCTGTAATTGTGTCTAATCATGGATCTGGCCACTGTCTGGAGTGAGTGTGAGGGCTCAGGGGAAGTTACAAGGCTCAGCCTGGCCCCTGATGTGGAGAGGACCACACTCCATGAAGGAAAGTCTCGTCCAAACCTGACTCCCCATCAGTAAGACAACTGAACACTTCCAGTTCTTCTGCATGATCCTCCCAGGGGATCCTGGGACCCACTGTGGCACCCACCCTCATCCCAGCAGACGCCCTGGCCTGGGTGGCCTCCTATTTGGGATGTCTCCTCCTCCTTATTTTGCTTTTAAAATCATCTGAGAAGTGGGTATGGGTGGAGATGAAATTTGGCGATGGGTTGTATTAGTTTGTCTGGAACAAAGTACCACGAATGGGGACCAAAACAACAGAAATTTCTTGCCGGTCAGTTCTAGATGGTGGAGGTCCAAGATCAGGATGTGGGCAGGCTTGGTTCTTTCTGAAGTCTGTGGGGGAGAATCTGTCCATGCCTCTAGCCCAGCTTCTGATGCCTTGCCGGTGATCTTTGGCATTCATTGAGTTGTAGATGGATCACTCCAATCTCTGCCTTCACCTTCACATGGTGTTTCCTTTTTTATTTTTATTTTTTTTAAGATTTTATTTCTTTATTTGACAGAGAGAGACGCAGCGAGAGAGGGAACACAAGCAGGGGGAGTGGGAGAGGGAGAAGCAGGCTTCCCGCGGAGCAGGGGACCCGATGCGGGGCTCCATCCCAGGACCCTGGGACCATGACCTGAGCCCAAGGCAGACGCTGAACGACTGAGCCACCCAGGCGCCCCTCACATGGTGTTTCCTGGGTGTTCACATTGTTTGTTCTTGGTGTGTGTGTCTGTCCAAATTCCCCCTTTTATAAGGACACCTGTCGTATTGGATTAATGACCTCATTTTAATTTCATTACCTTTACAAAGACCCTCTTTCCAAATAAGGTCATGTCCACAGGTACTTAGGGCTAGGACTCCACCATATCTTTTT